GTATCCATATCGGATTATAGCGACGAAATAGACAGAGAATTAACACCCAAACAATAACCCGTGAAGTACGTAAGATCCTCGAATTGTGTGGACCACCAAAATACGGACTTCGCGTTATACTCACAGATAAGACTCGAATATCGGACCGTCCAACATTCTGATATACGCGTCCGGTTCGGACGCGTAACCAACATGTCTTGTTAATAGTCCCCAAAAGTCTGATAATGAGCATACGAAAGAGAAAAGTGGACTGGATTAATGATGAGTCCTCGTCTGATAAGTGACAACTATAGCAGACTTCCCAAGCCTCGAGCGATCATCATCACAGCAAGGTGGCGAGGTGGTGTGCCCTACATCACCACGGTACGATCAATAGTCATCCGCCGCGTGTTGGAAATAAAGCAGAGAAAAGTTTGTCTCAGCCACTATCTCGTGTTGAAGACCACTGCAAACTATCGCTCGTGATCGACTCAAGCTCGATCAATCGAGTGATGGGAGAAGTGAGCCTCATGCTCGCAAGGTACAAGATAGCTATGAGAAATACCGCCAGGTCACGATGATGAGCCGATGATTTATAACGAACCAAATGGTACCTGGCAGTCCCCATAGCATCCTCAGCTGGTGGTATGGCAGAGACAATAGTGCTCACATTGGGCGAGCTAAGAAGTGGGAACGAGTAGAACCATCCCGTAAGTGATATTCATGACTTGATACATTTACAATGAACTGTTTGCTTTGTAAGGCATACCCCTATCGGCCTGATACACGTAAGGAGCGGGCATTCTCCGGCAAAGCATAGAGGATGTTGTTCACCATCGTAGCCTTCACCCTTGATCATAGCACCGATGACCAGAAGAGCGACGCAGATAACTTTTAACATGGGGGTTCGAGAAGAACAAAGAGCTGAATCCAGGTACATTCCACTCGCTCACTCTACACAAGCGGAACTGAGGCTCACCTTACAACGTGCATGACCTATGTCCGATATTTCACCATACTAAATTTCGCATTGACCACGGTCCTCAACTACTGCGTCTGTAGCGTCTTCTTGATCAAGCCGATCACCACTGGTGAACAACCCAACACTGGCGTCGCCGCTAGATGATGCGCTAGTCATCAGGAGATGTTTACAACACGCTATGGAGGTTCGAACATATCCTGATGTTACCGGAAGAAAAGACCCCAGAAGTCTCCCTCAATCCGGAGTCCTTCTGCTCCAACCATATCGATCAACTCACGTACTTCACGTTAAACGCTATAAATGAACAAGATTCCGCACAACCTTGTGCGGTGTTAACCTGCCACAAGCCGTACACGGATAGACCAACTATAAGAAAATGAAGAAGTCAAGACAGACACGATCACCGACAGACACGATCACCGTTGGAAAGGCGGCTGCCTAGATCGTCGTAGTGGTACTTCCGTACGCGACACGTCTCTGATTCGCAAGCACGTACACATAGCTTGAATGTGTGGCATCTGTTAAATGTGGCACAACTACTAGTTGTCAACTAGGACGACTACAAAAGAAATGAAGCAGTTTGTGCAAGCATCACAAAGAGAACCATCACTAGCATACACTGTTGGCAAGAGGTGGCGGCAACAAGTTGCTGCCAGCAACGGAAAAGTAGAGCTGGCGCATCGAAGTCGCTAGCCAGCGCCATGTTGCACATTGTTGCCTCAACTTGAAACTTACGATACTTTGGTGCACACGTGACGCTCATGGTCAGCGAAAGGACAACAGTATGGTCAGCGGAAGGACAACAGTATGGTCAGCGGAAGGACAACAGTACTGCAGCCGCTACAGTCAACAGTGTTGATTGGAGTCCAATAAACGTTAGCCTTTCTTCATTATCCTTCCGAACGAGTTCGAGCTCTTCCACGACTGCTTCCCGCTCCTATAGGTTAGTCTACCCCTCGGTAGACTAACCTCCCGTTCGCCTTACACAGCTATCAAGCTATAGCATGCTCTCACTACCTCACTGCTTGGTCAGGGTTAGGAGGCTGTCTCCATTTTCGTTGCCGTATCCGAACCGTTGGAAGCGTCAGACCATCACGCAAGGCCAGTGTGAACTCCGGGTCCAACTATAGCGATGGGTGAGAACTCTAGACACTGTGAACGCTCACCTCAATTCCCTGCTCCCGTAACCGCTGTTTATACTCGGACCACGTCCCACGGAAGGCCACGAGCATTTGGCTAAAATCCGCCGTCTTAGTGAATACGAGATCGTTGGGCGACTTTAACGACTTGACAAATGTCGAAATGTCCAACAACACTCCCGACAAAGTTTCCTCGAACGCCTGACTCAATAGTACCCTCAAATAGGGTGGCCGAGGGAAGGGAAAATAACCGTTCTTTCTTTCGGCCTATTTCTCATTCCTAAAAATAGGCAAAATAGGTAAAATATGGAAAAAATGAGAAAATAGACTTGGGGATCCTTGAAGACAGATAGCAATGCTATCATAGCATATGAGTAGTATACGACTAATATCTAGTGCCTCACGCGGTGAATACTTGTTATGAACTGTCGATTAACTTAGGCAGCCCAATAACGTGAGCCTGTCACACAGAGGTAGCATAGGTTACATGAGACACCTGGCATTGCTCCAGACTGGAGCTTCCAGACTGGAACAACTGACCAGGGCATTGGGTGGTCGATCTAGTGGTGAATGATCAGTTAAACTCGACTTTGGAACCTTTCGGAGCAATTGAATAAAGCTCTCCCTCAATCTGAGAGAGAGTACGCAGCGCGTATCGGGCATTTCTCACAGCCTGATCCGATGATGCTGCGTTTCGTTATGAGATTCTCATCTGCATGGCGTCTGAGTTTTCCAGTTAGCTGGAAAGGGAGAAGCACACTACGAGATGCGGATTTTACCAAGCATGACTTCGAAGTCTTTCGGGCAAGGTATTGTGCGCTTCCAAAGGCTAGCAAGACTGTATCGTGATTCAACCAACCTATCGAGATAGGCTGATTCAATTCGCTCAATATCCTGGTAACCAGAACCTGGTGTCTGAGATGTATGCTTCCCGGTGCACGAGCTCCGCTCGCGACTGCTCATATTGCATCGAGCATGGAGGTGG